TGAAAAAAGTTTAAAAAAATATTTGCCATGTTGCTGATTTAATATTTAATAAAAGAAACACGGTTTTTATAGTTTTTTTCTACTTCTACATGTCTCCTTTTTCTTGTGTAAGTGTTATTGTTGTTGTAGTAGTTGTTCTTATGCCGTGTTATTGTTGTTTTTGTCTACATACTAATTGTGATGATGGCGTAGTTTGCTGCTCTTGTTTTTGTTGTAATTGTTGTTTTAGGTCAGTCAAAGAGGAGACGACAGACAAACAATCACACATAGCAACAACTAAATTGTTGTTGTTGTTGTTGTTATTATTGTTTTTCTCATACTTTTATAATATTATAATACGAAGTGTATGAAAATGTGTGTGTTTTTGTATTGTAATTGTTTGCTATACTGTTATACACACCACTTTTTGTACTCGTATTATTGTTGTTGTTGCTATTTGTGCTGCAATTTTTGTCGGTATACATTAACAAATTTTTCATTTCTTAAAACAATTTTTTAATCACACCCTGCTTAAATTAACAGTTGTCTTTGTTTTAATCTATTGTAGGCTTAAAATTATTAAAAATGTATATTATTTAAAGGAATATTGTTAAATGAAAAGATACCTTTTGATTTTTTTAAGTGTTGCTAATACTAAACCAATGAAAAAATCGCAAAATATAGGCAAATGAAGGGTAAGTATTGTTGCAACTTAAAAAAATTAAAAGAAATACTAAAAAAAGTTTAAACTAGCAGTTCTGTTCAAAGTGTTATAGACAATTTTCTTATGTAAATCATACATTTTGTAAAAAAAAAAAAATATGTAAACAAAACAATTTCCTAAAAAATAAAAAAGATTTGCCTTATCATGTGAAATATGCAATAGTCTCTTGATGGGTCCCTATTAAATAAATGTTTTTGCTTAAACTTGACAAAGCTAAATATGATTGCATCCAAGTCTAAATAAAAATCTTTTAAACAACGATACTGAGCGAAAATCGTGCTGCCAGATTTAAGGAAAGTGGACGAATTTGTCATTTCTTTTTAAATAGCGATATTGAGCGAAAATTTCACACAAATTAGTTCATGCATGTGCAAATAGTATTGCCAGATTTAGTTATAGCTTCCATTTAGATTTCACTTCCCAAATCTCCTATACAATTAATCTGGACAAGTTTAACAAGATATTAATATGGGTCGACAAATTCGACTGATCTATTTCGCTCTAACTTTACTATAGTTAGAGGATGTTTGGCAAGCCATTCAGAAAAATGGGGCGAATTCGTTATATTTCTTGTTATTATACAGCGAAGAAAAAAATCAGCTGTGTTATCGATTCGATCCTGATTAGAGGTGGAGGCTGAGAACACTTAATACAAGATAAACATCATTACATTTGATTATGTTGTTGTTGTAGCAGCGACACGTGTAAATTCGGTGGGGCTGAGTTGACAATTCTTGATCGTTGCTTGTTGAACGCCGAGTCGTTCCGTTGCGAAGAACCGATTGTCGTGGAAACGTATTATTTTGGTGCTAGTTTTGCTGGCTGTGGCTGCAGACAAATTTGTCTGCTATTTTACGTTGTATTTTTCGCTGTTAGTTAGGTAAGGGGCAAATTATATAAAAACTCAAAAGCAACCAACCTCACCGACAAACTAACGACTTTCTGCAAGCGAAAAACGAATCCGTTTATTCATCACGCAACGGAACCTGATGAAATTATATGGGAGGTGTTTGAGAAGGCAAATTCAAAAAAGTTAGATGAACTCGTTCAATTTGACAGCGTCGTTCGAGAGAGAGCTTTGTTCAAAATTCAACAATCGATGCGAATCTAAAGCAGTTAATGTCGTTAACGGATTCTGATAAAGTTGGGCAAATTCATACTTCTAAAATATTGAGTTGTTTCAACAGCTATTGAAATGTCTTCCTCTTCTATAATGCTATCGAATATTTCTACAATCGAGGCGAATCTAAATGACTTGACAACGTTAACGAATTCTGAAAAAGTTGGGCAAATTCGTCCTTTTTTAAAATATGTTGAGTTGTTTTGCAGTTATAGAGGATCTAATGATCATTCTTAATATTTGCTTAATTACTTCCCTAACATTGTTGTAACTCTTAATATCTACCTATGATCGCTTACCTGCAAGTTGGCGAATTGAGTTCTAGCTTATTCCGCGGATCATTTTGCTAGTATGCTTAGTACTTCGATTCATACATTCACCATTGTTTGAAGATCCTTACTTGGCACGAAAATTGACATCATCTTTACAAACTTTTCAACATGTATACTGTCTGCTTTGAATCCCAGTCGTATCGATTCTACGCCCACCACTTCTACGACATTTCATCGATTCTCTATTATAGGAATCATATCATTCTGGGACAAGAAACACCATTGCATATCATTCTAAGTTTTCTTTTGTTTTAAGATCTGGACTCAAGGATCATAGTCATGATAGCGTCACAATAAGATGTTTATCTTGAGCCTTGCAAACTTTTGGTAATCTTTTAAAGATTTGCCTTTACATATTTCAGTTGGATGTTGATCTACTGTCTATCAAGACATAACTTATAGTCCTATACCACCCAGGGAGAGAGAGAGAGATAGAACAAAGCATACTATTATAAAAACGCCTTCATAACATAAAAGCTATGAGTTTCGGATTTCATCACTAGAAACTGGTACCATGTTTGTTTGGATACGATTATCTTTCCAATACTATGTGCTTCGAATTTAGACTTATTTTTTTATGATATTAATGTAGGACTTCAAGCCATACTGAAACCACCTCCTTGTTAGAGAGTTTTAAAAATAAAACAATTGGATTTACTGGGCAACGATCTTCAATTCACTTTTTTATAAACCGTTGGGGACTAGTAACTTTTTCTTTCATTCCCACGACTATTGGATCTTTGCTGCGGAACGACCCTGGTAATACTAGGGCAAATGTTGTCAACTCAGTGACAGCAATGCAAACCGAAAGGATTTCGCCTAGCTAAAAACTATCGGCCACGTGGAACTATTACAACAACAACCTTTCTCCTTGGACTATTGATAAGTTCTATCAAAATCTTCTTAACTATCCTAATCTAGAGCCAATTTCCTAAAATCTTACAAAATCAAATTTTAATTACGTTTTTAATACAAAAACTACTTGTATTTTGGTATTCAGATGCAATTTTCTGGCCGAAAATACGATATATCAAGATAAATTGAAACCATGATTCATTATTATACATAATCGTGCGATTTAAACACACGATAAAATGTGACAGAATTCTCACCCACTCAAAATTAAAACGTCATAATAATGAATCGTCCAAAAGAAGTGTTAAAAATTCTCTCCCACTCAAAATGAAGCGTAACAAAATGTGTTGCTAATTTAGCGATTTTTAAATATTCAAAGATATTATTACTAAATTGAAATTGATGATGTCATAGAACAGACACATTTTGTGAGTTTTGCTATTAAAAATTGCTAAATGTTCGATTAGTGAAGATCTTAAAACTTGATTGTTCCTTAATTTAATAGGGAATTTGAAAATATTGAAAGATATTCGTTTTAGTACCTGGTATGCAAATGAGATCATTTCAATATTTAAATTACCTGAGCAAGATTAGTGCAGTTGAAACGAACCAACCATAAATGTGTTAATAATTGTTGTTTGTTTAAAACTTCAAACACGAAATCCATTATGGGATAAACAAGTTTAAAATAGTGCTCATCTTAAGAAGACTATGTTTAGAATTTAAAAGCTTGGAGTGATTAGATTGTTATTTATGACAAACATTTTATTGTTTTTTTTGGGAAAGTTTTGATAACTGTGCGATTTAAAGATTTTAGTTAAAAATATCGATTGTTAATTGATCGACAATAATGAAGAAGTAAATTTGTTGCGCTAAATTTAGAATAATAACTTTTGGCAATAGCCAAGATATCAACAAATGTGTTTAAAAGGAAAAAAATGGGTTTGGAATTATTGAATATTTTTTAAATAAATTTAATATATTCATAACTTATTAAAGTTTTTAAAGTGTCGAATTTTATTAAAATTTTAATTTTTTGTGAAAAGTTAACATTTAATTTTATTTTTTTATTTTTGTTGTAAAATTCGATTTCGCTAAAAGTAGAACTTTTAAAGAAATTGCATATAGGTATTGGTAAAAATCGATTTATAGTAAAAATATCTTAATTTTAATGAATAGTGTAATATTAGTGAAAAATTATTCAAGTTTTTTAATCACACATATTTTTCTATTGAAAAATAAAATCTAAAGAAAATTTTACATTTAAATTACTGTTAAGCGTGTTATTTTTCTGCATTTTCTTTACAAAAAAATTGTTATACAGAAGTGAAATTATGTCAACATTTCGATCCCTGTTAATTAACTATAAGATTTTCTGTAAGAAAATGAAGTTGTATTCATTAAAATACTGTTATTCACAAATAAAGGATTATATAAACTTATCCATCCCTGTTGTGTGTTGTACACAATATTTTCCATTGAAATTACTGTTAAAAACATTATTTTTCCTAAAAAAAATATTTTAAATACGAAAGTTTTCTTACCCAGTACTTGTTATACACTAAAGTTTGATTGTATAAACTTTTCCATCTCTGTTTATAATATCAATTGTCAACTTTGTTGCTGGAAAATTTTTGATTTCTTTTAATATTTTCGATTTTCTTTTAATGCACTTATTTTTTATAAAGATTTTATTATTATTATAAAAATGTATACTATGTTTATTTGCTTCAAAAATATTATTTAGATTTTTATTTCTTTTGGAAAAATACACCAAAATACCAACGAACGCGTTAAACAAACACGAACTACAACCACCCGACAACCCGAACAAAAATACACTCAAGCGAATTAGGAAAACACACAAAACAACTGCTGTCTACGTCGACGCTTCTTAGATCTGCTGCCCGCGCAGTCACTGCGTTCACATAGAAAATCACTCAAAATGTGACGTGCTAGTAGTTTTTTCAATTTTGCTTTAGTTGCAATTTCGCGTTCGTTTGATGTTAAAGTTCTTTATAGAATGTGTGCTGTAATTTTTATTATTTATTGAATAATTTAAAGTTTTTATAAAATAATTTATATAAAAAGCATTTAATGAATGAAACTTAATAAATATCGCAAAGAAAAAGTATTAAATGAAGTTTAAAAGTGCTTAAATAAACAAGAAATAACAATCTGTTAAAAGCTAACCATGTGGTTTTAAGAGAGAGAAAAAGAAAATAGTTTACCTTATCTACTTAAACTAAACCTTATAAAAGGGTTTTTGTAAAAATAAAGGTACATAGTTTTTTAGTGCTTCAACTATTTATTAATATATTTTTGTTTAAATGTGAAGATTATTATAAAATTCTCACGTTTTTTCTGTACCCTTATGGTTGTTTTGTATGTTTAAGTAAAGCATGTGTGTGTGTTTTTTGTCTTCTGCCGGCTGATCTTAAAGTATTTTTTCTTCTTTTTTGTTTGGTTTCTTTATGTAGTGGGGTTGTTGTTTTTGTTGCAAACAAAGTTTTGTTAAGTGTTGCCAATCATTTTTTTTATCTTATATTGAGCCGTTTTTTCTTTTGTTTATATTTTATTTACCGTGTGTCAAAATATAAATGTTACAATTGAAATTTATTTTCAATTTTTATTAAAAATAATAATTTTTATTGCAAATAATAATTAAATTATGGGGAAAATGTATTTTATATAGCAAAATATACAGAACTAGTTATAGACTAGACTATATTTCAGTTTACTGACTATATAGAAAACTATAGACCAGTCTACAGACCAGATTATTGACCAATCTACAGATGAGACAATAGTCTAGACAAAACTATAGGATGGACTATATACTAGCCTAAAGACTGGACTAAAGAATATACTTGATATAATAGACTTGACTATATATAATAGTCCACACTGTAGATTAGACTATAGTCCAGACTATAGACTTTAATATAGTCCAGATTATATACTAGAATATAGCCCAGACTGTAGACTAGACTATAGTCCAAAATAGATTAAACTATAGTCCAGACTAACGACTACTCCTGTCTATATATAGAGTGGTCTACATTCTACTCATAGTAGAAAAACTTTTCTTTATATCATGATTATACTCAATAGACTTGACTTTTAGACTTATTATGCAGATTATAATCAAGAGTATATAGACCGCTTCATTACAGAGGCTATGGAGCAGTCTATATACCAGACTGTAGAGTACTATATCAAATCTTTCAAATAATCCTTATTTTTATTTTCTTTTCCTTACAGTTTTTATAATTTTATTTCAAATATGTTTTACTAATCTCAAGTATTACATTTATCGAGAAGAAAACTGAGAAGTAAACGTTTTAAGTTCAAGAAAGAAAAAAAATTCGTAATCCAAACACACGTAAAAATGACTGATGCACAATATGAAGCTAAATATCAAGAAATGCAAAAATATGTACCATTCATACAGCGTGTCATTGATAGACTTAAAGTTAACAATGAACAACAGCCGGATAAACCGCGCCAAGCGCAATTACAAAAAATGGAAATGTTACATGATTTGCTAACGAATAAAGCAAAAAAGTAAGTAGGAAAAGGGATTCACGTTTAGGAAACATTTAACAGATTAGGTAGAAATTTTCTTAAAATTTGATGTTTGTTTCTTTTTTACTTTAATTTTAAAGGATCAGAATCGAGACTTTAATAAAATGTGAAGGCGTTTTAATTAAGTTACATAACAAAATTGAAAAGGTAAGTGTGATTTTTTTATTTTAAAGAATTTTTCTTTAATTTTCTTTTATTTCCTTTAAAATTTATAATTTTTTTTTAAATTGGTTAATTTTTTTCGTTTTTTTTTTTTCAAAAATGTTAAAGCAATCCACTTTATTGCAGAATGAAGATAATGTATTAAATAATGTTAAATTGAAGAACAAAACTCCTCAGCCTTCCACTACGGCTAGCAGTAGTAATAGTAATAATAAAAATACCAAAGTTTTAACAACAGAAGAAGATATTTCTGGACCCGCCAGTCCGCCTCCGGAAATAATAGCAGATGTTATAGAACAACCGGTAGAAATACCCACCGAAAGACGTTGTTCTCCTATATTGCTAAAGGATCCAGTGAAAACTATATCGCATAAAACTGAAGAATTAAAACATTCCACTAGTGAAGAGTTTCAAAATTTAAGACAAAAAGTCTTTTCCTCGGATAATAAACAACAAAATAGTACATCAAATAAACAGTCGGCGGGACCACCACCACATCATCATCATCACCATAATAGAACACATTATGATAATCGTTCAAGTCATTCTCAACATCATACACATCATCAGACTAAGCATTTAAGTAATTCGCGTCAAAATAGTCCCTTCCCTAAGGATAACAGAACTCCCACACCGAGCAATGCTTCCAAATTACAAACAGTTAAAGTGGTGATAACAGAACCTTTACCGGCTCATGTTAAACAACAACATTTTCCCTCTTCCAAACCTTTTCTACCCAGAGCTTCAATATGTCACAATAATTTAAGAACATTGCCACAGGTATTACCTACAGACGATGACAACAATGAGGCCTATAGTCCGGAAGAATGTTGGGAACAATACAATGAATCACATAACAAACGTTCGGGTTTTTCAGCATCAGCAGCCCCTGTTTTCTCACGTCTGGGGGCCAAAGTTACAGACGAAGTAAAATTGGAGAGCCCTAGTGGCAGTAAACCACCAGGACGTTACACTCCTATACCGGATGTTTTAAAAAGTCCTCCTCTCTCCGTTAATGATATCAATAATCTTTTAATTGAATCCGGAGCCGATAAAATAGCTAAAGATATTTCCGAAATAGGCACTAGAAGGCCCACGAAAGTAGAGGATGTATCACCTAATAATTCCTTCGAATTTGTGCGCAAAAAACTGCAACAAACAGCACGTCTCAACTCCCCCGTAACGGGAGATAGAGATGAACGTAATATGTCTCCTTTGCCGCCCGAAAGATTGGCTTTAAAATACAATCCTCATCCTAGGCAGGAGAGATTAATATCTATATCCTCTACGGAGGGCAGTGAATGCAGTACCCAATCGAAAATAAATGATCCAAGACTTAAATATAAATTAAACAGCAGCAGCAGTACTTTAAATTCTCCTTCTCCCATGGCCAGTCCAAATGTTAATGTTTTGCCGGCCATTAATCTTAATGATCCCCGTCTAAAGAAACAGAATCTTTTAAACAACACTCCACCCCTACACACGTCTACTCCCATAATGAATTATCCAGCAACAACTAATTTAAGTCATGCTGGACGTAAAGATCCTAGAATATCAAGAGTAACAGCAAATAATAATCATAATTTTACACCCAACAGAAGTGCCAGTCTTAATCAAACACAATATAGTTCTGAAGAAAATTGGGATTCAGATGAGGAGTTAAAACCTAAACCTTTAACTAAAGTAGATCCTAGACTGGCTAAAAGAGAACAAACTCCTGTGGAAAACCCTTATGAAAGAGAGGAAAGATCGTTTAACTCCAAACCGCCACCCAATAGAAGAAATAGTTTAAGTCAAACGCGTTATCAAATGGAGGCGAGATCTTTTGAACGGGCTAAAAGCCAGCCCAGATTTCAAGGGGATGAAGGACGCAATCATAGAGCTAAAAGTCAAACACGTTTTGTGCCAGAGACTACAAAAGATAAATTACCCATTAGGGGTCAAAATCGAAGCAGACAAGATTCTTTGGAAGACAAACAAACTTCCCTTAATACAGATTCGACTGGTAATAATAAAAAAGACAAAAAACCTAAGAACAAACTAAAGCCCTGCACAACACATACTGTACCCAATCCTCCCAAATCGGATACCGAAGAAGATTGGGATTCTGAACCGGAAGAACCTAAAGAAAAACCTAAAGTTATAGCAGAAACCAATAAAGTTATAGAAAAGCCGAAAGAGCCAATAGCAATTGATAAATCCCCGGTACCGCCAGTTATAATGCCTACGTATCATAAACATAACTCACCCACGTCTATAGTAAGCCCGGTACATAATATACCCCCCTTGGGGACCTACAAACAGCCACCACCTCTTGTGGGAACTTATAACCAGCCACCACCCCTCATACCGCCGGGACCCCTTAACCACACATTTCCTGCACATAATGCAAACGTCCACAATCGTTTTAGTTCTTTGCTAAATGACAAATCCGAAAGAATTAAATATTTTGAGGCGAAAAAAACAGAAAACCACACAACCTAGAACCTATAAAGAATTCCGAGAGGCTAAAGAAAGAGCTCTAGCGCAAGAGGCGGCCCTAAAGAGAGCAACAGAAGAAGCTGAAGCTAAAAAGAAAGCTTTAGAATTGAAAGAAGCCGAAAAAGAGAAAGAGTTAAATGCTAATGACAAACAAGAGTTAACCAAAGAAATACCCAAGGAAACGGGCCATAAAAAGTTGGAGGAAACGAAAAAAGATAAAAAACCAAATAACAATGAAGGCGCAAAAGCTTCGGTTCTCACAAAGAAAGCTGTTGTACCGGCAGAATCGGCTTTAGATAAAATGTATCGGACACAAAATTTCAATACCACATTCTCCAAAGGAAATTTAAGTTTTAAAATACCCAAAAAGAAAACAGAAGAGAAAACTAAAGAGGAGAGTGCAAAAACGGAAGTCGCAGCTAATGTTAGTTTGGAAAAGGCAAAGGAGTTAGATAAAGAGGAAAATAATGAAAAAGATAAACAGGAGGAAACCAAAGATAAACAACAAGAACAAAGCAAACAAACTGCAAATAATAAAAAGCCTTTGGTAACTACTCCTGCAAAGCCAATGGAAACCAAAACTAAAGAAATAAATAAACAACAAGTTGAAACTACTGCTGGCAAGCAGTTGGAAAGCAAAGTTAAAGAAGTTAATAATAAAAAGACGAAGGAAACTAAACCCAACCAACAAGTAGAAGCTGGCGAAAAGCAGCAAACTAAAGAAGTTTCCAAAGAGGATCAAGATAAACAAGTAGAAGCTGGCGATAAGGAAAAACTAATGGAAAAGCAAAAAACTAAAGAAGTTTCCAAAGAGGACCAAGAAATTGAAAAGGAGGATAAGACCTCGGACACCCCAAAATCCACAGAATTGGTAAAAGAAATAACAAAGGAAACCACCAATAATGAAAATAATAAAAAGTGTACACGTGATCCCAGATGTAGACCAAAACCAGCAGCAAACACAAAAGATAAGGCAAAAGAAACAGAAAAACAAACTGAGAAGGAAATGGAAAAGGAAAAACAACCTGAAAAAGAAAAGCCAACAGAACCAGCTAAAGAAAACTTTGAAATGCTTTCACAGATTGTCATAACCTCTTCAGAAAATGAGGTCATACTTAAGCCTCAACAGAATCTAAGTGCTCTCGATAAATTCAATAAATTAACACAAGAACTAACACCCAAACCGCAAAGAGTCCTTAGAAGACGCAATACTATGGTGGTATTCGATAGTGCTCCCCTAGTGGACAAAGAGAAGCTAAGAAAAGCCAATGCTTTACTATTCGAAGATGTGCAGGAGGAAGAGAAACGCAAGCGCAAACAAGCCGAAGAGGAAAGAGTAAATGCTAGACGCAATCGAAATCTAGAGGAAATGTTTAAGAAAACCGATGATAATTGCACCGTATCCACGCAAAATATTATCACAGGAAAGAGAAGAACACGGGCCACCATTAATTTCAATGAGACAGCTTGTGCCATATCAGTGTTTAAGCATGTGACCTTGAAAGATGCCGCCACCAGTAAAGTGAGTGAAACAACGATTCCAGCAGCTAAAAATACAAGATCAAATGCCAAACCAAAAAAGCCAAAACCACAAGAAGAGCATAACAATACGGATGATAGTGAGGATGATGATGATGATGCTGAAAAGGAATCCGTACAAGTTAAAAACAAGAAAGAAACTAAAGCCAATAAAACCAAAAACACAAAAGAGACTAAACAAAAAACAGAGGAGGCAGCCAAGGAAGCGGAAAACACTAAAGCCACTAAGGAAATAGAAAACAAAACAAAAGCGGGCAAAAAAAGAGCACAGGCAAATAAAAAGGTACAGCCGGGGAAAAACACGGAAACAACTACAACAACAGCAGCAAGTGACATCAATAATGAAGCTGCCTTTAAGCCTATAACGAAGGCAAACGAAGAAGAGCACCAAAATTGTGCCGTTTCCTCGACCTCTACCGAAAACTCCAGCGAAGAACAAGCCAGCTGTTCTAATGCCATTAAGGAGACCTCCTTTAAAAAGGAAACAGATGACAATGAACCTACCAGCACGGCCAACAAGTCCAATAACCCTACGCCCACCCCTGAAGCTAATGTTCATGTACTCAATGAAATAGTCGATCAAATTCTCAAACCTAATGCCGATAGAGAACATATTTTAGGTTTGTTAAGTCAGATATTAAGTGAAGAAAGACTGGAACTTATAAAATCTTTAATAGAGTCCAGTCATAGACAAACTACAGAAGCGGAGGAAAATAAACAAGAAACGAATAAGGAAAAAGAGATTAAAAAAGAAAAAACACAAGCAAACAATAAAAATGAACAAACAAACGAGGAAGAGGAAGAAGAAGAGGAGGAAGAGGATGATCCTGAAGATTTAAAACCTTTAAAACCTAAAGCAACAGCAGCAGGGGGAGAGGAAGGAAAAAAAGCAAGAGGGGCGAAAAAAAATCAAAAGAAACGCAGTGAATTAGACAGATTAAATGATGACATCAGAGATATGTTTATATGTGAAGGTGTACTGACAGCGACAGGACGGCGTATGTGCACCATTATGGGCAAGGAGGTGGAAACGGAAAGCAACAAAAAGTCTGCCAAAGAAAACAAAGACAATGAAACAAATCAACAGGAAATGGTAGGCAAAAGAAAAGAAGAAAAACTTAAGCCGCCGGCAAGCAATCGACCCCTCCGAAGATCTCTTAGAGGTTGTAAAACTAATGAAGACAACAATGATGATGATGATGAAGCCCTATCTGTTTTTTCACGTACTACGGAGGAGTCGCTAGATAACACCGATACCAGTTTTAATACAGACAGTACACCGCAAAGAAAAATGCCCATATTAAAACCACATACACCCATTAAAATACCCGAGGAAGAGGTAGAGGAAGCTGCCAAGAAAACCAACAAAACTAATAAAAGAAAATCTGTTACCAAGTCCAATATAAGAAATAAAAAAGCTAAAACTAAAGAAGAATCAGAAACAGAAGATAGAGATACTGAAACCGAAATGGACGAGGAGGAGGAGGAGGAGGAAGAAAAGGGTGCAATTAAAACAAAACCAGAAAATAAAGCCGCCATTAAAAACACCAATCTACACTGGCATAATCAATCAAAATTCACCAATTGGTGCATGATTTGTGAGAAGAAAATCCCCGCCAATAAAGTTTCTTTACACTACAAAATGCATCATGGTGAAAATTATATATCACGCTTGGCACCCGTCTTACTGCAGCAATTTAAAAAAGGAAAATGCAATCAACCAATATTTGGTGTTAAGAAGACACAAAGACAACCTTCCTGGTTCTATAGATGTCCCTTCTGTCTAAATTACTTCAATACGCCCCTGCCTCTTTGGCTGGAACATTTTCAAAATCATACTGTAGAATTTCGCTATGAATGTTGCAAGTGTCATTACTGCAGCAATCGTAGAATGACAGTGGCACGTCATGTTAAGACCTGCGAGGGTGGCAGCATTGTAACTTCGATGGTTAAGCTTAATAAACCCACTGAAATTAATGCTCATGTTTGTCATCTTTGTAATTTTATACAATTGAAGAGGGCAAACTTGGAAAGACACTATATAGAACAGCATCATTTGGATAAGAAAAAGGTGGAGCTGTTGGGCTATACCATTACTTTGTTCGATGTGGAAAATGTGGAATGTGTTACAGAGGATAAGGCTATCGAAAGAGAGAATGAGGCCTGGAAGGCAATAGAGAAAGATGAACAGATTATTGATATAGAAGATGATGAAGAAGTGGCGGCAAAAGAAGCTAAAGCTTCAGAAAATGAGGCTACAACTTCGAAGAAGCAATCGCCTGAAACAGAAGTAACAAAGGAGAGTGAAAAAGAACCCAAAGAAGCTAAAAATGATGAGGAACAAGAAGCTGTGAACAAACCTAAAGAAACTACAAAGGAGTCGGAAGAAAGGCTAAAAGTTAAACGTATTTTGGACTTAGAAAAATCCAAAGATTTGGAAAACCCTAAGCAAACCGAAGCAGCTAAGGATTCCCATGAAGAGCAGCAAAAATTACACCAAGAAACTGGTAAAGAGAAGGAATCAGTACAAGTTGTAAATGCTACGAGCAACAACACAAAAAAGCTTGAAGAGAGGAAAAACAAAGAGACAGAAAAGGAAATTCCAACCGAAACAGCTAAAGAAGAAAGTAACAAGAAGGAGAAAGTTTTACAAACACAACTACAACCTGCTACTACTAAAGATTCCAGCAAGAAGCAGGAAATAAGCAAAACTAAACAAACTGAAAAAGAACCAGCAACAGATAAAACTAAAGACAACCAAAAAGAAACAAATAAAGAAGAAAGTTCAAAAGAAAGTGTTTCAAAAGAACCAACAGAAAACGAAGAGCTAACAGAGATAGAGAAAGAAACAAACAGCGATAGCATGAGGATCAATAAACCAAACGAGAAAGAAATCTTAAAACCTGAAACTCCAATTAAAACACCAACAAAAGAACAAGAAAAGCTCAAGAAAACTCCAACAAAAACAAATAAGGTTATAGATTTTGACTCGAGCGATAGTGAACCCTTAAGTAGCAAAGATTTTGAGGTAGTAAATGAGACAGCCACGGCACAAGATCTACAAGATGAACTCTTAGCTTTGGCGGCACAAGCAGCTGATGAAGTAACTGCTACAGAGACCACAAAAGAATCGCAAACTAATCTACAAAATGAACTATTGGCTTTGGCAGCGCAAGCAGCTGAAGCAGATCCTACAGAAACGCCAAAAATTTGCCTAGAAATGGAAGAGGAAACACAAAACTCTGTGGCCAGCAATAAAGAGCCACAAATTAACTTAAAACCAAAGGATTGGGAACAGGAAATCTCCAAAGAAATTAAAAAACTTCCTGCGCCCCAAACCACCATGTCAGATCTTATAGCAAGTTCCATAGATTTAATTTACAAAAGAGGTGATAGCAACAAACGCAAATCTTTGGGTTTGGAAGCTTCTGAGGCAAAAAAACTCAAGCAAAATGCCTCAAATGCATTCATGCCCAGTCGAGAAGAGAACAGCAATTCGCCCACCATACAAATATTGGCACAATCCATAATCAACATAGAAGAACAGGCTAATGAAGATGGGGTACGACAGGCCAACAAACCCATAACCATGGCGGAGAGATTAAGTCAACGTTTTAAAGATTTACAACAACCTACGCAAGTAGAACAAACTAATTCCAAAGAAAATGCCTTTGAGAAACTTGTTAATGAAACGGTAAAGGACTTGGAACAAGAAAACGTAACTGCTATGCCAGCATTATTAGAAAAGGAAAAGGATGTTCCTAAACCTGTAATTTCTAATGATATTACTGTTATCAGTGATGATGAGGATTGGGAAGATATAGAAATTACAGAAACTGCTCCAACGGTTAGTGCCACGAATACAGGTAATATGCCCAAGTCCAAGAATAAGGGTCTTTTCCAGAAATTTGGTTTATTAAGGGGTAATAACAAAAACACCAAAAAACACTTAACACCCATGGGATTTTTACCCAAAAAGAAAACCCTAAAAGAGAAAATTACTCCCAACAATAACGGCACTACTTTAAACACACCCCCACCAACCACTACAATAACAACTAAAAATCAAACAAACACCAACACTTCCCCCACCTTGAGTTCAGCAACTAATACGCCACTAACTAATACAACTGCTCATATAGGCTTTAAACCTGTTATCAATATCATGGATGATCTATTGCCCGATTCACCCTGTAATGATCCTATAGATTTAGTGCCGGGCTTGGCGCCTCTAGAACCTTTACAGGATCTTAATGATATTTCCTCAATATTGGACTCCAATCTAAGTGCTGTGAATATAAATGCTGCCGATCAACATACCAGCATAGAAGATGCTTTAGATTTTGTTTCCGAGCAACAGGCAAATGATAAACAGCAGACCAAGTGCCACAGCAAAATCTCCATAAATAATATCTCACATGTGGGCTATTCTTTGCAGTTGACGGGCGAGAATCCTTTTAAATTCTATTGTTTATTGGAAAATTGTTCATTTTTATACTCGAGTGATTCGGTGGGTTTGGAAACGCATTTTATGTGCGAACATCAACATATTAAATGGAATGGTTATTGTTTAATGTGTCAGCAGCAATGTTTTCCTCAGGAAGACGGCAATAAAGAATATTCCATTAACCAAGAGATACGTCATATGATGGAAAAACATGCTCACAAACCTATATTGGATCTTAATAACGATTCTACCCAGCATTCTACCACCTCTAGTCAGGGTAGTGAGGAAAGACCTAAAATTAAACTACGGCGTCTAACAGGCGACTGTCTTTCACGTTCTACACCCGATATAGAGGCTAAAGGTAATGAGGGTGTGAGTGCATTAACTTCTGCAGCTCCCTTAACCATGTTGGGGGCATTATTGGTGGCCAAACCTAAACCGCCCACCAAGGACATGCCTCCTCAACCACAAATGCCCTTAACAGAGCCTTTACTATTAGATGCTGGTCCTGCTGTGGCTTTTAATAATGTCAGCAAAGATTTTCTCATCACCTCGGTAACCTCCTCGGCCCCCAACCAACAAACACCTTTACAAATTTCCAATGTAATAAGTTTGAATCCCAACACAACCACGGAACAACTACAATTGCCCAAAATATCTAATGTACGCACTCTGGCGCCCAAAGTGGGTAGTTTATGGACGCAGCAAATAGAAAAGGAGCGTGTAGATTTGGTAGAAGCCGCAGCCGAATCTCTAGAAGTTTCCAATATCTTGGCAAATGCCGGCAAACCTTGTACCGAAAGAGAAGTACCGCGCAATTTAGATGACTCACCGGTAATAGTGGCCGAAACGTTGCCTTTGGCCCAAAACAAAACCGGAGATTTTGTAATAACCCAAACTGTTTCGGCTCAGTACAATGATCAATCCTCTGCGGCCCTTGGTTTTAATATTTCCATAGCTGCCTCTACTACCAACAACAATAATAATGCACCAACTAACGAAAGCATGTCCTCACCTAGTTCCAACTTTACCATAACTTCACGTCAATATAAATGTATGGGTAGTGGTTGTAAATTTGTCAGCCGTGTCCCGGTGGCCATGAGTGATCATTTGCGTTTTCATGAACGTAGAAATTTCTCCAATAAACATGACTATTTGGCTTGTGGTTTCTGTTTCTATTGTGCCACGGATGTGGAAGATTATATGAAACATGCCGATCAGTTTCATATTATAAATAAAACTTTAAACAAACTGGCAGCAACAACGGCCGCAAATGCTGCAACAACAACAGCAGCAGTTAATACCACTAAGTCCTCGCAAGCTAATACAGCAACAACAGCTTCATCAACGTCAGTTTCCCTTAATACTGCTTCCCCCAAATCGGCGGCCAATAAAGAAAAAGACACCGCCCTTTCCTTAAAGGAAAAAATACAGGATATTTTAAACAGTGGCGGCAATGTTGTGATTACCGACATGAGAAATGCCAAATTTATACAAAATCAAATTTCCAAACATTTCCCAGAGCCCGAAGAAGTTTATCTACGTAAATTAAAAGAAACCATAGAGGAAACTGTAGGACCCACCGGTTTGGCAGGTAAGCTAAAGAATTCTTTTAAATATTTTTATTTTCTTAAACTTTAAAAATTCCTTTTTCTCTCCCTCTCCCTAGATGATAAACTTTATCGTTGTGTTGTTAAAAACTGTCAGACCCAGCTAACCGAGAGTAATTTTCTCACGCATATCATGTATCACATCTCTAGCATGGGTGGTAATCCCAATAATTACACCTACAAATGTCCACATTGTACAGCTCAATATCATCGTCCTGCTGGCATTAAAGCTCATATCAAAAATCATGCTCGTAATCGTTACTTTTGCTATTTATGTGAACAAACTTCCACCAATCCGGGTCAGTTGCTGAAACATTTCTCGGAAAAACATTGGCATACTTTGAATATGTATACCAAAGAACTGATTAAACCGAAAATTTCCAATGATGCTTTGGGCACTGTATTAGATTCCGGCTATTATGTGGCCTATACTCAAGATCTAACCGATGAGGAATTAAGAAAATTTGGTGAAAAATTGATATTAGAATGGCAGCGCAAGAAGTCGGGCTCTAAAACTCATTTCAAATCTAGCGAAATAGATCTATTGCCCTTATCCGCCATATTCCAACGTGAAGTCAACTGTGGCGAGTGCAAATACAAAACCAAAGTACGCACCAATATGCTCAGACACTTGCAAATGCATAAACAAAATCCTGACTTAAGTAATAAAACTGATGCCACTAAAGCCTACAGTGTGGATCCTGTAAATCCTGTGCCTTGTTTAAACAGCAGCGAAAGATTTTTCGATAAAATGACCAATTTAGCTTCATCATCTCTAATACCTTCCTCTTCCACAACAGCAGCATCATCGGCCACATCCACAGCATCGAAGCCAGCCTTTAAAATTCCCTACAGCTTTTTATCAGAAAGTAAATGTTACACTTGTGGCTGTCCTGGCTGTAATTATCATACCATTTCGGTGGATTTATTCCGTGCCCATTTAAACGCTTTGCATTCGAATAATGTAACCTACCGTTGCACTTTTTGTCTGGAGGAAATCTGTAAGAGAGGCATTACTATTGATCGCATTTTAAATCATTTACGTTTTCATGGCGCCACTCTATTTCGTTGTGAAGAATGTAATTATATTCATTATTTGCGTTATGTGGTCGAGAGACATATTAACGAGAAGCATGCCAGTTCCAAGGTGAATATTGTTATGCATGAACGTTCCGAAGAAGACGACCCAGAGGGTCATACTACGATGGTGGCTTTTGCAGGTGAGTGAGATTACTATAGAACTGACTATAGCTTAGACTATAGACTAGACCATAGACTATACTATAGACTAGACTATAGACTAGACTATAGACTAGACTGTAGACTAGACTATAGACTAGACTATAGACTAGACTATAGACTAGACTATAGACTAGACTAGACTAGACTAGACTAGACTAGACTATAGACTAGACTAGACTAGACTAGACTAGACTATAGACTAGACTAGACTATAGACTAGACTAGACTATAGACTAGACTAGACTATAGACTAGACTAGACTATAGACTAGACTAGACTATAGACTAGACTAGACTATAGACTAGACTAGACTATAGACTAGACTAGACTATAGACTAGACTAGACTATAGACTAGACTAGACTATAGACTAGACTAGACTATAGACTAGACTAGACTATAGACTAGACTAGACTATAGACTAGACTAGACTATAGACTAGACTAGACTATAGACTAGACTAGACTATAGACTAGACTAGACTATAGACTAGACTAGACTATAGACTAGACTAGACTATAGACTAGACTAGACTATAGACTAGACTATAGACTAGACTAGACTAGACTAGACTATAGACTAGACTAGACTATAGACTAGACTAGACTATAGACTAGACTATAGACTAGACTATAGACTAGACTATAGACTAGACTATAGACTAGACTATAGACTAGACTATAGACTAGACTAGACTATAGACTAGACTATAGACTAGACTATAGACTAGACTATAGACTAGACTATAGACTAGACTATAGACTAGACTATAGACTAGACTATAGACTAGACTATAGACTAGACTATAGACTAGACTATAGACTAGACTATAGACTAGACTATAGACTAGACTATAGACTAGACTATAGACTAGACTATAGACTAGACTATAGACTAGACTATAGACTAGACTATAGACTAGACTATAGACTAGACTATAGACTAGACTATAGACTAGACTATAGACTAGACTATAGACTAGGACTATAGACTAGACTATAGACTAGACTATAGACTAGACTATAGACTAGACTATAGACTAGACTATAGACTAGACTATAGACTAGACTATAGACTAGACTATAGACTAGACTATAGACTAGACTATAGACTAGACTATAGACTAGACTATAGACTAGACTATAGACTAGACTATAGACTAGACTATAGACTAGACTATAGACTAGACTATAGACTAGACTATAGACTAGACTATAGACTAGACTATAGACTAGACTATAGACTAGACTATAGACTAGACTATAGACTAGACTATAGACTAGACTATAGACTAGACTAAAGACTAGACTAAAGACTAGACTAAAGACTAGACTATAGACTAGACTATAGACTAGACTAGACTAGACTAGACTATAGACTAGACTATAAACTATACTATAGACTAGACTATAGACTAGAGTATAGACTAGAGTATAGACTAGAGTATAGACTAGACTATAGACTAGACTGTAGACTAGACTATAGACTAGACTATAGACTAGACTATAGACTAGACTATAGACTAGACTATAGACTAGACTGTAGACTAGACTATAGACTAGACTATAGACTAGACTATAGACTAGACTATAGACTAGACTATAGACTAGACTATAGACTAGACTATAGACTAGAGTATAGACTAGAGTATAGACTAGACTATCGACTAGACTGTAGACTAGACTATAGACTAGACTATAGACTAGACTATAGACTAGACTATAGACTAGACTATAGACTAGACTATAGACTAGACTATAGACTAGACTGTAGACTAGACTATAGACTAGACTATAGACTAGACTATAGACTAGACTATAGACTAGACTATAGACTAGACTATAGACTAGACTATAGACTAGACTATAGACTAGACTATAGACTAGACTATAGACTAGACTATAGACTAGACTATAGACTAGACTATAGACTAGACTATAGACTAGACTATAGACTAGACTATAGACTAGACTATAGACTAGACTATAGACTAGACTATAGACTAGACTATAGACTAGACTATAGACTAGACTATAGACTAGACTATAGACTAGACTATAGACTAGACTATAGACTAGACTATAGACTAGACTATAGACTAGACTATAGACTAGACTATAGACTAGACTATAGACTAGACTATAGACTAGACTATAGACTAGACTATAGACTAGACTATAGACTAGACTATAGACTAGACTATAGACTAGACTATAGACTAGACTATAGACTAGACTATAGATTAGACCATAGACTAGAGTATAGACTAAACTATAGACTAGACTATACACTAGACTATAGACTAGACTATAGACTAGACTGAACTAGAACTGAACTACAATTGAACTGGACTATAGTACAAACAAGCTTTCAGTCCAGACTTTAGATAAGGCTAAAGTCCAAACTAATAATAACCAATTTTTTTCCTCTTCTTTTAGGCAAAAAATATAAAGAAACTTTGGAAAACAATCAATCAACCGCTGGAACTTCTAGTCCAGTAACACGTTCAACCAACAGTGATAATGCAGCCCCAAAACCTATAGTAACCTATGTAAATACAGCCAAAACGAAAGGTAAATGGGTGTGTGATGTTTGCGGCCACCGCTCCACCACTGTGGGACAAATGCAAACCCATTGCCAGCAACAGCACGGTGTTAAAAATCAATATAAATGTGCCCACTGTACCTTTGGATCTCATCAGCTCTCACAAATTCTTTCGCACATCGATGAGAAACATGCGGGTAAGACAAGAGAAGCCCGTTATATGTATCATAGATCCGTTAATAACAATGAAGATGTGGCCGATACAAGACCCTTGTGGCAAAGAAACGATCCCACACGTGTTAGACATATACGTGGCATTTTAATGGAAGATGAAGAAGAGTCGGAGGAGTATCGTAAAAAGTTACAGTTAGAGGATAATGAGGGCGAGGAGGATGATGAGGATCAACAGGTGGATGTGGAAACACAAGATGACGAAGCGAATAATGCAAATTATATATCGGGCTATGAGTTTGGCTGTTATCATTGTGCTTTTAAAACACAAATATTTGAGGATTTAAAGAATCAGCATTATAATGAAGTGCACAATAAACAGCAGGAGTTGGCCAAACCATTCTGGTTTCGTTTGCTTAGGAGGCTGTGTTGTCCAGAATGTCGTAATTTCATTGGTAGTAACAGTGAACTGCACCAGCATTTATTAAGTGTCCACAAAAAGTCACGTTACTTTGCAGCCGATGTAACGATGGCGGAAAATGATGACAACAGTCAAAGATTACTGTGTGGTTACTGTTCCTTCCACTGTGCTAATGTCGAAAACTTGTACAAGCATCATTTGCGTGTACAGCATTGGCCCCAAGACATACGTATTGATAATAATGAACAGATTATGGATATTTTAGCTTTAGGCAAACCGGAAGTGTCCTATCAGTGCACTTTATGCGCTGATATCTTTCCCAATCGCGTGGCTATTGTGCAACATGCCTGTAATATGCATGCGGGCGAGGAGAGTTTCTCCTTTAGGGAGCTTAGCAATTCTCTGATCTATCGTTGTAGCAGCTGCTGTTTCACCAGTACCTCCGAAATGGATCTGATGAGACACATGATCGATCATTATGGTCGCTTTAAGACTTGTAATTTTTGCGCCCAGCAGCAAAGTTCCTTCAATGTTTATATGCAGCATTGTTATGCGGAACATAAGCAGGAGATACAAAAGTTTAGAACCATTTACCCGTTCCGAGAAATACGCAAATTTTTGCTACAAATATTAGTAGTATTCCCCAGTGGCCTGGTGCTCAACAAACGTAATCTTTTAAATACTAAATATGGAAAAACGGTGATAATAGATGAGTTGTATGAGGAGATATATAAAATATCACAACAGCCGCCTATACCAAGGCTATCGATAGCACGTTTGGTGGCGCGCAAATCTATAGAAGCTCAACAGAAACATGTGGATTATTCAGCAAGCGCCACTCCACAAGATGAAATTTTAGAAGCCATACAATCAAGACCCAAAAGTGTGACCAAAAGAAGACGCACGGTGGTTTTGAGTGTAGAGGATTCAGCAGCCAGCACGAGTTCTAACACTTTATTGAAACCTAAAATTTCTGTCATAGAAAATAAAACCCCAGCCGCCATTAGAAAAAGAAGAACCACGGTAGATCATGAAAATTTAATGACACAACCACAACAAATAGCCAATGAATTTAATGCTCCCTTGCAACTGGCTAAAATCTCAAAACGTAGACGCACGGTGGCGGTAGACCGTGACACTTTATTCTCTACCAACTTAACCTCTAACACCAGCGATTCCTTACTAATTGAAAAGGAGTTTAATAACAAAAAACGCAAATTCTCTAACACCCCCACACACTCACCAAAACATGCAACTGAACACAATTATCCACAAAATTTAGACCTTGAACCCTTCTCCTATTATGGTCAATTGCCTGAGCAATTAGATTTAACTAAAATCTATACTAAAGTAGCTATAGGAGGCATTAAAACTCCCTTAACTATAGATAAATTTAAGCTATTGTTTAATATTGATTGTCAGTTAAAATTAACTAAATGTGATGCCGAAGTAGAAGAAGAAGGTCAAAAGTTAATGGCCTATAATGGTTATAAACATATTAAAAAGGCCTGTCCAGCAAGCCATAAAGTAAAATTTAATTGAAGAACATGAAAACAGAAAGAAAGTTATAAACTTTCTTTTAAAAGTAAAAACAATAATAAGACTCTTAGTTAGTAAGTCAACATCCTAAATGAAAATTAGGATATTTTTTTAAGTTGTTTTACTTAACGTTAAGTACCTTTAAATGCCCTTAAAAAAACTGTTAAACAAGTTAAATTTTTGTTTGCTTATACTCCTTAAAAAACGCCATAGCCCAATATTTAAAACAAACTGTATATAAACAAGTTATTTGTTAAGCTCTCTATTACTCTCATTACTTACAGGGATCAAATTTTAGACTATGTATGGCAGGAGTAAAAATTTAGCTCTCTGTTTGAGAGAAAAAGCAGAGCTTTACAAAATTTTATTATCCCTGTTAAGATGTAAGTTATGTTTCTTCCTTTTTTCCCTTTATTATTATCATTACAACTATTATTTTTTGAATATAGGAGTAATTTTTTATATATTAATTATTATAACACTTAAAAACTTTTATTATTATCTATATTATTTAACTGAAATAAATGTAAATAATTGAGCAACTTAATCCCACTATATGTACTATATGACTCACCACTAATGTATGTTTATGCTGCAAATGGTTAAAAAACGGCTGCCTGCTTATATTCTCTAGACGTTTTCTTTAAAAAAATGGCTTGGAATAAGGGCAAGGCGCTGCTAAAAGACCGAACAAACAAAATGATGTTATGAAGTTGCTATGTTTTCTTTCAGGGAATATAAAAGGATTGTAATGGATTCCGAAATTCCTTTTCAAAAACTTTAAAATGTGAATGAAAATGAAGGCATAATGAGCTTTACAGCGCTCTGACCTTGATATTTTTAGGATTTTGAAAGTCCCAATATAGCAAGTTACTAGAAAAATGATTGATGCTTGAGCATAACTTGCAGAAAATGTGCAAACACCTACCTACACCAAACCTGCAGAAATTATATGTTCACATCATCTCCCCGACGGGGAATTGAACCCCGGTCTCCCGCGTGACAGGCGGGGATACTAACCACTATACTATCGAGGATGTTGCAATAACATTGTTTGCATCGATTCAGCTTCAAAATCTACAGAATATTGCAGCTAAAAGTGCATTTAACCTATACAATAATTTAATGCAAAAGCAATACTCTTTCTTACTCCCCGACGGGGAATTGAACCCCGGTCTCCCGCGTGACAGGCGGGGATACTAACCACTATACTATCGAGGATGTTGCAATAACATTGTTTGCATCGATGTTGCTTCAAAATCACCAGAATATTGCAGTTAACTGTGCATTTAATCTATACAATAATTTGATGCAAAAATCAATACTCGCTTTTACTCCCCGACGGGGAATTGAACCCCGGTCTCCCGCGTGACAGGCGGGGATACTAACCACTATACTATCGAGGATGTTGAAATACGGAAGTATTTTGTAGAACACTTCGAATCAAGCAACCATTACTCCGATATCTATGATTGTTGGCCAATCATGAGTTTCTCCCTCTTCCATCTCAACTGCCAAGTATGAAATGTTTTAGTCAAAAGCCTCTTGCGATTAATCTGGAAGTCATTAGATTGCGCTAAGACCCTTTGTACTTGAGATCGTTCAGCTACAACTGCTATAACTAAAAGACAGAGTGAGAGAAACTTTAGCAACAGCCGATAAATAAAGTTTTAATGAAAAGATTGTGAGAAATCTGTTGTTTAAAGATCTCAATGGGAAATCAAATGATTTATGTAATTCGCATGACCGGGAGATAGGATTTTGGTTAATCTTTGTAGCATCAAGTTCGAGCTTCAAACGTTAGAGACAATTGTCACAGGCCGAGTTAAAACGATCTGATGTTGAGGAAAACTATATACTTTGAACTCATACTTATCGCAAAACCTTTTATAAATTAAAGTTAGTCTTGGCTACTTTTTCCAATGATTTTAATGTATTAAGAAGTCAAAGGAAGATTCAAAACAGAAGATTATTTCAATTATCCCTAAAAGTGCACTCTATTCAATATATTTTAATCAGTTTCCATAGACACCTATTATTCGATTATGTCGGGAAGTGTGTTTTGTAATATTTTATTAAAAATACTTAGTTGGTCACATTACTGTAATTAAAAACATTTTAAATTTAACAGTTTAACAACTAACACAACACAGAGTTGCAAATAGTTAACCTTGCTAGCGTTGCCAACTCTTATTACATATTTGACACTTGTTATCAGCAATTTTTTCCTTTCTTCCGAATGCCGCAAATGTCAACCGCTTGCAGTGCTTTTTTCTACTATATGCAAATAAAATAAAAACAAATATAAGCGAAACGCAAAAGAAGAAACAACGAAGAAAAGCAAATACATAAAATAGGCAGCAATCAGTCAAAGTAGCAGCAGCAGCGGTAGCAAAAAGTCTAATTTTTGCGAAAGTGTTGAAGGAATTTTTTTTCGTTTTGTTAATTATTTTTTTTAACAAAATTTTTATAATATAAAAAAAAACCAATTCGATAACATAATTTTGTTAAATTTAACACAATTTAATTAATTTGAAAACGAAAATTTTTTGTTAATTAAGGTAAGAAAAAATATTGTACATTTTTTTGCAAATTAACCTCATACTAGTTGAGTGTGTAGAAAGAATAGGAAAATTGTTTTTGTCCAATTAATCAAGACAAAACTAGATTAAGACATAGAGCATCAACTATAGCAAAAGATAAGCTTTGTATGTTTTTTTTAAAAAAGTTAATTGTAAAAAAATTAAGTGAACCAAAAATAACTTAAAGAACAAAAAAAAAAAAAAATTAGTGAAAAAACAAAAACAACGCATTAACTCAACAAACAACAAAAACATCTGTACAAAAACAATTTTTTTGTAGATATTTTTTGCATATTTTTAATATAAATAAACATTAATATAGATATTTTTATATTTGGCAGTTTTGTTGTAGTTGTTGTTTATTTGTGGAACAAAAATTATTTACTTTTTGCATTATGCAAAACAAAGTGCTAATTAATTTTCATTCAATGTTTATTTACACTTATTTGTTTGTCATTTTTTTCAACGTTTTCCCTACATTTACTCAACAAAGTAGAGCGTATGATAATACAGGTCACCTTGATTTATGACCTAAAGGTCATTGTTTTTATTTATTATTTTTTGTAATTTGTTAAAATTTTCTGTAAATATGTTTTTCTTATTAAAAACTAAAACCAAAAATGTATTAAATTTCTAAAATTTTCTTTTACAGCCTAAAATTCTGCTACAAAAATTTTATTAAAAAGGAAAAATGTTAAAACTAAAAAGTGTTGCTAACGTATGCAACGCCACTGCATTGCGGTAAGTTAAATGAGAAAAAATAATAAACAAAGAGGAAGGAAGAGAGGGAGTGTGATTGAGCAAAAGAAAGTAAACATAATGTTTATAAACAATGTTGCCAAGCGTTTTGGTTTATGAAAACATGTTTGAACGTGTATTTACAAAAAGAAAAATGTTTAGAAACAATGTTGCTAAAGATTTAAGAGGGTTAATGTATAGAAACAAGTGATTTAATAAATTTATTAAAGTAAAAATGAGTTGTTTAAAGAATTTTCTATAGAAAAGACAAGTTATCGATAACTTTTCTCTGACATTTTTTTATAGAAAAGTCAAGTTATCGATATCTTTTTTATAGAAAAGTCAAGCTATCGATACAATTTTTATTGAAAGGTAAAGTTATCGATAACTTCTATAGAAAATTTATGTAATCGATAACTTTTCTTTAGAAAAGTTATGTAATTGATAACTTAATGAAAGGATATCGATATAAAGTAATTTTATCGATATATTTTATATAAGAAAGTCGTGGTATCGAAGTGTAATCGATATTAAAGTCAAATTATCGATAATTATTCTATAGAAAAGTCAAGTTATCGATACAATTTTTATTGTAGGGTAAAGTTGTCGATAACTTCTATAGAAAATTTATGTAATCGACAACTTAATGAAAGGATATCGATATAAAGTCATTTTATCGATATATTTTATATAAAAAAGTCGTGGTATCGATAACTTTTCTCATGTTATCGTTAACTTTTCTTTAGAAATTTTGTGTAATCGATATCAAAGTCAAGTTATCGATAATTATTCTATAGAAAAGTCAAGTTATCGATACAATTTTTATTGTAGGGTAAAGTTATCGATAACTTCTATAGAAAATTTATGTAATCGACAACTTAATGAAAGGATATCAATATAGTCATTTTATCGATATATTTTATATAAAAAAGTCGTGGTATCGATAACTTTTCTCATGTTATGGTTAACTTTTCTTTAGAAATTTTGTGTAATCGATATCAAAGTCAAGTTATCGATAATTATTCTATAGAAAAGTCAAGTTATCGATACATTTTTTATAGAAAGGTAAAGTTATCGATAACTTCTATAGAAAATTTATGTAATCGACAACTTAATGAAAGGATATCGATATAAAGTCATTTATCGATAAATTTTATATAAAAAAGTCGTGGTATCGATAACTTTTCTCATGTTATCGTTAACTTTTCTTTAGAAATTTTGTGTAATCGATATCATTTCTTTAGAAAAGCTTTGCAATCGATAACTTTTCTTAAGAAAAGTTTTGTAATCTATAACTTTTCTTTAGAAAATGTATGTAATCTATAACTTTTCTTTAGAAAATGTATGTAATCGATAACTTTCTTTAGAAAATGTATGTAATCGATAACTTTCTTTATAAAAGTTTTGTTATCTCTAGCTATTCTTGAGAAAAGTTTAGTTATCGATAACTTTTCTATAGAAACGTTAAGTTTTCTTTAAAAAAAGCTACGTTATCGTTAACTTTTCTTTAAAAAAGTTATCGATATCTTTTCTTTACAAAAGTTAGGTATTCGATAAATTTTCTTTAGAAGAAGAAATAAACGTTTAGTTAAATTATCGATAAGGTGCTCGATATTGTTTCTTTGAAAAAAAAAACTTTTATTTGAAGAAGTAAAATTATCGATAACTTTTTTTTTGAAGTTATAAATTTTTGTTCTAATTTTCCTAATTTCCAGTTCCATCTCTACTACTGCTACTTGCAATGAATCAGATTCTTGGTTTTCCAAACTATTGGTGCGTAAAATCGAACCCACCAAAGAGCCACACAGTCGTATGTTAAGTGACAAGGAAATCATTTACGCTTTGCATACACACAATGTTAGACCTGATTCTATGGCGGAATATTTAAATAATTAGTAAGTTTTAAGAAACATTTCAAATAATTTTGCTAATTTTTTATAAAATCTGTTTTACGATTTTTTTTTTAAGTAAAACTACTGTACAATTAATCAAAGATAAAAAAGCCAACTTATCTTGCGATTTGATGGCTTCCTGGACCGTCCATGTGGGTGATATGGATCAATGTTTGCATTTATGGAAATATACGGGTGGTTTTGAGAAAATCGATATAGCCAAAGAGGATTTATGGCATGATAATGTAGGTTTTAAGAGACTTCTAAATATTTTATGATTTTTTTTAAATATGAATGTGTTTTAAACAGGAATACATGTCACTGATGAAAGAACGTTCCAAATTTTTAAGATCACGTCATTTACAATATTTATTGGCCTTTAGCTATTGGCCACAAATGGAAATGCGCACTGGAAAAAATATCTATGAAATGCGGTAAGTTGGGGGCAAAGACATTTTTTATTAAAACTTATTTTTTTGGCGTTTTTTAAGTTCTTATCGCTTGAAACCGGGCACCATGATTGAATGGGGTAATAATTGGGCTAGAGCTATAAATTTCCGTAAACATAATAATGAAGCCTTTGCTGGTTTCTTTTCGCAAATTGGTCGCCTTTATAATGTTCATCATATTTGGTGTAAGTTTTTGTTGGGTTTTAAAATATACTTGGATTTTGTTTTAATGGTTCTTATTCTCTATAAAAAAAGGCTACAAATCTTTGGCTGAACGTAAGGAGACCCGTGAAGCTTCTTGGCGTTCGCCCGGCTGGGATGAATGTGTTGCTTATACCGTGCCATTAATTAGAGAAATGCACTGCCGCATTTTGGCTCCTACTGAATTCTCCCCCACCCAATAAGATTTTCTTTTTATTTTATTTTGTTTGAATTTAAAAGTGATCTTAGCTTCAACGAAACGCACATTTTTTTATTTCATATTTTAATTTTTTTTTTCGTCAAGAGTTTATTTTAAATTTAATTAGTTGGCATTCAGATAAACATAAATATATAAATTGTTATAAAATATTGAATATTGTTAAAAAATCGATGGGCTTTACGAAAAACAAACAACCACAACATTGTTAATTTTTAAGAATATAAAATTATGTATACATATGATAATAAAAACTGTTGAACAGCATTTATTAAAATATTATAAAAAATAAATATAAAAAAGATTTTTTACAAAAAATATCGAAAATAAATGGTTTTAATTGAATATATGCTAAGCTAAACTAAAAGATAATATTGCTAATAAATTTTATTTCATAAGTTTTATTTTAATTAACAGTTAAATAAAACTATTTGTAATTTAATAATAAAACAAATTCTATAGAATAGAAAAATTAACTTTAAATTTAATTTATTTACAATTTTAATTCATAAAAACCTTAAAATCTTAACTAAAGTAAACACTTAACTTTAGCCAAGTTTACAACCTTTTTGTCTAACCTCTCACTCACATACAACTCTGTGTGTCAAATAACTTTAAACTAGTTGGCAACGCCAATATATTTTTTTGGCTTATTTTTCACTTGTCATTCTATTTTATTCATAAAAATAAATTTTTTCCATTGAAAAGTGAAGTGATACATGAAAGAGTTATTGAATATTTTTTAATTTTTTTAATGGAAATTTCTAACAATAATTTATAATTTTTATAGAAAACCAAAGTGTAAAGTGTGTATAAAACAATGACATAAACGTAAAAGTCCGCAAATAAATTAAAAGCCATAAAATTTAGCAAATAAAAAGTTAGCTGGTTTTTTTTCGTATGATTTTATTTTTTCACTACGGTCGTCTTATACAAAGAACAAGAAGAAGAAGCAGCAGCAGCAGAGACCAACGAACAACATTAGAAAGCCTGAAAAGGAAAAAAGAGAGTGAAAATAGAAAGAAAACGGCAGAAGAGGAGCGCCACCATTTAACGTCGTCGACCAACCAACTCATGTGTATTTAAGTTTTTGTTTTTTATTTTCAAATACCTCCTCCTCTATACCTTTTAAATTGTTAAAAAATTCAAAAAAATATAAAAGTGTTTTAAAGTTATTTAATCAATTTAAATAAGAAAAAAGTTTTCAAACAAAAATTAAAGTGTAATTAATGAAAAAACCGCCTTATAACAGGCTGGCTGCTAAAATTTTCCAATAACACAAAACAAACACTTGCTAAATACACTCTCGCGAAATGGACACCTCAATGGATACTATAACCTGCAAATTACAATCGCTGGAAGAACGTTTGCAGGCAGAAAATGAATCCATATTACCAAAAATGCCTCTTGCCAGGCCAAACACCTTAGTACGTCCACAATTAACGGGTTGTAAGTATTAAAAAAAAACTTAAAATTTCCAAAAAAATTTTGTTAAAAGAAATTAAAAAAGTTTTGTTGGGGGAGGGTTATACTTTAACATCGCCTGTCATTTACATTCAAAGTATTTCTTTTTTGGTTTTTGTTTTAATTTTCTGTGGTTTTTTTTTTTTAACTACTTCCACCACTTTTTTCTTAGCTGCTTCTTTTTTTCTTTCTATCATTATACCAACACCACCACCCACCCTCTTGCGAATGTTTTTTATTTTTGCTTGATTTTTTGCGAATAAAAGTAAATAAACACAACAACAACACAATTCAGTCTCCCAATTTTTGTTTTGTTTGCTTTGTATTGAATTTCTTTTATTTTTCTCTTTTTTTTTCGATTATGCTGTATGTTTTTGTTTTCATTATTGTCAAAGTGTTTTTGTGTGTGTGTTTGTTGTTGTTTTATTTTTATTGTTTTGCTTTTAATGAAAGCAGATTTCAATCAAACCACCAAACAGCCTATTGGAATTTTTGTTTTTGATTTTTGTTTTTGGTATTTCCGGAGTAATGTTTCTTTAATAACATTTTTTGTTGTGGGTTTTGGTTGACGGGGGGAGGTTACTGTGTTGAAAATCTTGATGAAAGATTTGTTTGTAAAGTGGTAAATATCAATAAACAATTTAGGGCAGAGTATTATTTCTTGAAAACCTTTGATAAAAGCTCCCAGAGAATTATAATGATGTATTAAAAGAACTAGAACAGAACTAGAACAGAACTAGAACAGAACTAGAACAGAACTAGAACAGAACTAGAACAGAACAGAACTAAAACAGAACTAGAACAGAACTAAAACAGAACTAAAACAGAACTAGAACAGAACTAGAACAGAACTAGAACAGAACTAGAACAGAACTAGAACAGAACTAGAACAGAACTAGAACAGAACTAGAACAGAACTAGAACAGAACTAGAACAGAACTAGAACAGAACTAGAACAGAACTAGAACTAGAACAGAACTAGAACAGAACTAGAACAGAACTAGAACAGAACTAGAACAGAACTAGAACAGAACTAGAACAGAACTAGAACAGAACTAGAACAGAACTAGAACAGAACTAGAACAGAACTAGAACAGAACTAGAACAGAACTAGAACAGAACTAGAACAGAACTAGAACAGAACTAGAACAGAACTAGAACAGGACTAGAACAGAACTAGAACTGAAAGAATATGTCTCGGGAGTGTATTTTAACTGAAATAGGAATTTTTAACCTTTTTCTATTATATTTTTCATCTTATTTTCCAGTGGACAACTTATCAAATCGTCCCACAAATCGCACTAATATGAAATTGGCTTTTGCAAAGCCCACCGGACCTGCCGCTGAATCTGAAACAGATAAAAAACTAAAGAAAATCCACAAACAAACCGGTATTCTAACGATAAACGATCACAAATACCACTCCGATATTAAAGATCTCGAACATTTGGGTGATTTGGGCAATGGCACCAGTGGGAATGTAGTGAAAATGCTCCACAAACCCAGTAATACAATAATTGCCGTAAAACAAATGCGACGCACTGGCAATTCTGAGGAAAATAAACGTATTTTAATGGATTTGGATGTAGTTTTAAAATCACATGACTGCCAATATATAGTACAATGTTTGGGTTGTTTTGTAACGGATGCTGATGTTTGGATTTGCATGGAATTGATGTCAATGTGTTTTGATAAGCTGCTGAAGCTATCAAAGAAACCAGTACCCGAAAATATACTGGGGAAGGTGACAGTGGCGGTGAGTTTGGATTTAAAATTATAAATTAATTTGTTTTGTAATTGTGAATTATTTCTATTTTTAGACGGTCAAAGCTTTGTCTTATTTGAAAGAGAAACATGGCGTTATACATCGTGATGTTAAACCCTCAAATATTTTAATCGATGAACGTGGCAATATAAAATTATGTGATTTTGGTATTAGTGGGCGTTTGGTGGACTCAAAGGCGGCCACTAGATCAGCTGGTTGTGCGGCTTATATGGCGGTAAATTAAAGTTTTCTGTTCTTGTTTATTGTAGATTTTTAATAATTTTTCTTTTGTTTTTCTACAGCCTGAACGTATCGATCCTAAAAAACCAAAGTATGATATACGTGCCGATGTTTGGTCTCTGGGCATAACACTGGTTGAATTGGCTACCGCTCGTTCACCTTATGAAGGCTGTAATACCGATTTTGAGGTATTAACAAAAGTTTTGGAATCAGATCCGCCACGTTTGCCAAAAGATGATAACTTTCATTTTAGTAATCAATTTCATGAATTTGTTAGTAAATGGTAAGTTTTGTTTGTTTTCCTATAACAACAACTTCTTAATAATTTATGTATTTTTATTATCAATATCTTTGCAGTTTAACTAAAAATCATAATTTACGACCTAAATATCCTCAACTCTTAGAACTAGATTTTATAAAATACTACGAACAAGCTGAGGTTGATATACCCTATTGGTTTAAATCTGTTGTAGATGCTGCCGGCATTAAAACTCAACGTAGGCAAGTAGAATTTCTTCTATTCAATTTAATTTTAAACAATTTTTTGAAAATTCATTTGAAAGAAAAAAACCAATAGAACAAATTTTTAATTTAATTGCTTGCCTTTTTTATTATTTACTTTATTTGTTTAATCTTTTTTACTATTTACACGGCTAAAAGTTTTTTTTTCAACTAATTGTATAAAGAAAATTTTTAAGAATTACTTTTTAACTTACTAAAACTTTTGGTTATGATGATTTTGTAAAATTTGTTTAATTTTTTTTTTATTTTTATTGTTATTTTTTATTTTTTATTAATCTTTTTATTTGTAGGTAACTTAAAACCTTAAAACAAATACCATACAATAAAAAAAAAAAACAATTTAATTAAATTTCCCCTACAATAAAGAAAACCATAAATTTTCAAGAAAATTTATAATTTTTAAAAAAGAAATTACGATAAAACCTTAAAACATTATCATACAAAAAAGAAAGAAAAAACTTACAAAATGTTACAAACAATTATATAAAAAAACAAAAACCTTTCATGAAACTACTCTCCCACCTCCCCGTAAGTATTACACTTGTTTTGTTTATTTGTTACACTCATTTATTAAAAAACACATTTCACCCAACAAAAGAAACAACAAAAAAAAAATTGTGGTAATTTGTTAACCAACATTTTAAAAGACATTTTACTTTTAGAAATTTGTTACTAATTTTTAATAATTTGCATGTAACATTTTCATTTTTTTTCTACTAAAAAATGCATGTTTTTTTTTTAAGTTAAGTTTAGTGTTTAAAAGAACTTATTCAATTTTAATTATATATCACTTTTAGGTTCAAATTTGTTACTTAATTATAGAACAGACCTAAAACAGAACTAGAACAGAACTAGAACAGAACTAGAACAGAACTAGAACAGAACAAGAACAGAACTAGAACTGAACTAGAATAGAACTAGAACAGAACTAGAACAGAACTAGAACAGAACTAGAACAGAACTAGAACAGAACTAGAACAGAACTAGAACAGAACTAGAACAGAACTAGAACAGAACTAGAACAGAACAGAACTAGAACAGAACTAGAACAGAACTAGAACAGAACTAGAACAGAACTAGAACAGAACTAGAACTGAACTAGAACTGAACTAGAACTGAACTAGAATAGAACTAGAATAAAACTAGAACAAAACTAGAACTAGAACAGAACTAGAACAGAACTAGAACAGAACTAGAACAGAACTAGAACAGAACTAGAACAGAACTAGAACAGAACTAGAACAGAACTAGAACAGAACTAGAACAGAACTAGAACAGAACTAGAACAGAACTAGAACAGAACTAGAACAGAACTAGAACAGAACTAGAACAGAACTAGAAAGGAACTAGAACAGAACTAGAACAGAACTAGAACAGAACTAGAAAGGAACTAGAAAGAACTAGAACAGAACTAGAACAGAACTAGAACAGAACTAGAACAGAACTAGAACTAGAACTAGAACAGAACTAGAACAGAACTAGAACTGAACTAGAACAGAACTAGAACAGAACTAGAACAAAACTAGAACAGAACTAGAACAGAACTAGAACTGAACTAGAACTGAACTAGAACAGAACTAGAACTGAACTAGAACAGAACTAGAACAAAACTAGAACAGAACTAGAACAGAACTAGAACAGAACTAGAACAGAACAGAACTAGAACAGAATTAGAACAGAACTAGAACAGAACTAGAACAGAACTAGAACAGAACTAGAACAGAACTAGAACAGAACAGAACTAGAACAGAACTAGAACAGAACTAGAACTAGAACAGAACTAGAACAGAACTAGAACAGAACTAGAACAGAACTAGAACAGAACTAGAACAGAACTAGAACAGAACTAGAAACAGAACTAGAACAGAACTAGAACAGAACTAGAACAGAACTAGAACAGAACTAGAACAGAACTAGAACAGAACTAGAACAGAACTAGAACAGAACTAGAACAGAACTAGAACAGAACTAGAACAGAACTAGAACAGAACTAGAACAGAACTAGAACAGAACTAGAACAGAACTAGAACAGAACTAGAACAGAACTAGAACAGAACTAGAACAGAACTAGAACAGAACTAGAACTAGAACAGAACTAGAACTAGAACAGAACTAGAACAGAACTAGAACAGAACTAGAACAGAACTAGAACAGAACTAGAACAGAACTAGAACAGAACTAGAACAGAACTAGAACAGAACTAGAACAGAACTAGAACAGAACTAGAACAGAACTAGAACTGAACTAGTCTGGAACTATAATAGAAGTAAAACTTCAGCTTAATATAAAGTTTATTTTAAAAAAAAAAAACGTTTTTAGTTTAAAATTATTAATTTAAATTTCAAATTTTCTTAATTATAAAAAAAATAGAAATTCTTTATTTTATTACAAAGAAACTGTATATCATTTGTATCTTAAAAAAACCTTCACCTAAATGTTTGTGTTGTAAGAAAAGTTCATAGAAAATGCTAAACAATTTAAATTTCATATTTTATTTCTCTATTACAGAACTCAAATACCCACATCATCAACACCGGCTACATATGATGCCTCTAAACATCATTATAAAAATCCTATAAACGCTTTAGCCTCTACAGCCAATCTGAATACGGGCTCCTCCTTAATGGGGGCTATAACATCAACAGCAACAACGACAACAATGACAATAAATGCTTTAACAAAACAAACACAATCACAAATACCCAGTTATCAGGGCGGTGGTGCCACCATAGAACATTATCAACAACGACATCAGCAGCAGCAGCAACAACGTTCAAATAGTTTCAAACATCATCAGCAACAGCAACAACATCGTCATCATCAACAGCAGCAACCATCTCAACTACCTCAAACTTTAAATCAATTTAGCATTAATAGCAGTAATATAACAACCACAACAACAGCAGCAACAATAAATAATTATCAGGGATCAACAGCAACCATGGGCCACAATAGTAGAACTACTACCGGCTCATCAGTTGGTGGCAGTGGCAGCGTTAGTTATAATACTGGTTCTGGCAGTAGTTCTGCCACCAGTTCTAGTCCTTTATCACCACCCAGTGTTTCCTACAATCTCAATAAAGATGATTCGAAATTAGTCAATGAAATGAATAAATTATATCGTAAATCTCCATTTATGCAAAAGAAATTTAATGGTGGCTCCTCTTTGCAGCGTTATCAAACATCGCCGGGCGATGAAAGTCCCAAAAAGGAATCGGTTTTATCGACAATAGGTTAATATGTCTACTAAAACAAACAAAATTATTACAATAACTTAATGTTTTATAAATTTTTCCTTACAGGTCAATCTATTTTACGCAATTTGACCACTTCCCCCTTTAGTCAAAAGAAAAACTCCTCTAATGTTCAACCCAATCAAATAGATCCCTTATGGCGAATGCCCACCACTCAAGATGTGGCATTAGCTTTTGATTCTTGTGATGCTGCCAATACTACTCACACATCAGCTTTAGAATCGCCTGCAGTGCAACGGAAACGTTTTCAACAGGGTGGAGAGGCTAAAGCTAGTATGACAGCAGCCAAGAAGACTTCACTGGAGTCAGAGAAACAGGATAATAAACCCTCTTTAATACCTTTAACTAAAAATGAAACACAACCACCACGTGTTCCCGGCAATCATAGTCCAATAGGTAAAGTTTTTACAAAAATGAACTAGAACCGAACTAGAATAGAACTAGAACAGAACTAGAAAAGAACTAGAAAAGAACTAGAACAGAACTGAACTAGAACTGAACTACAACTGAACTAGAACTAGAACTGAACAAGAACTGAATTAGAACTGAACTAGAACTGAACTAGAACTGAACTAGAACTGAACTAGAACTGAACTAGAACTAAACTAGAACTAAACTAGAACTGAACTAGAACTGAACTAGAACTGAACTAGAACTGAACTAGAACTGAACTAGAACTGAACTAGCACTGAACTAGAACTAGAACTGAACTAGAACTGAACTACTGAACTAGAACTGAACTAACTGAACTAGAACTGAACTAGAACTGAACTAGAACTGAACTAGAACTGAACTAGAACTGAACTAGAACTGAACTAGACTGAACTAGCTGAACTAGAACTAGAACTGAACTAGAACTGAACTGAACTAGAACTGAACTAGAACTGAACTAGAACTGAACTAGAACTGAACTAGAACTGAACTAGAACTGAACTAGAACTAACTAGAACTGAACTAGAACTGAACTAGAACTAGAACTAGAACTGAACTAGAACTTAACTAGAACTGAACTAGAACTGAACTAGAACTGAACTAGAACTGAACTAGAACTGAACTAGAACTGAACTAGAACTGAACTAGAACTGAACTAGAACTGAACTAGAACTGAACTAGAACTGAACTAGAACTGAACTAGAACTGAACTAGAACTGAACTAGACTGAACTAGAACTGAACTAGAACTGAACTGAACTAGAACTGAACTAGAACTGAACTAGAACTGAACTAGAAACTGAACTAGAACTGAACTAGAACTGAACTAGAACTGAACTAGAACTGAACTAGAACGAACTAGCACTGAACTAGAAACTAGAACTGAACTAGAACTGAACTAGAACTGAAACTAGAACTGAACTAGAACTGAACTAGAACTGAACTAGAACTGAACTAGAACTGAACTAGAACTGAACTAGAACTGAACTAGAACTTAACTAGAACTGAACTAGAACTGAACTAGAACTGAACTAGAACTAATAGAACTGAACTAGAACTGAACTAGAACTGAACTAGAACTGAACTAGAACTGAACTAGAACTGAACTAGAACTGAACTAGAACTGAACTAGAACTGAACTAGAACTGAACTAGAACTGAACTAGAACTGAACTAGAACTTGAACTAGAACTGAACTAGAACTGAACTAGAACTGAATAGAACTGAACTAGAACTGAACTAGAACTGAACTAGAACTGAACTAGAACTGAACTAGAACTGAACTAGAACTGAACTAGAACTGAACCTAGAACTGAACTAGAACTGAACTAGAACTGAACTAGAACTGAACTAGAACTGAACTAGAACTGAACTAGAACTGAACTAGAACTGAACTAGAACTGAACTAGAACTGAACTAGAACTGAACTAGAACTGAACTAGAACTGAACTAGAACTGAACTAGAACTGAACTAGAACTGAACTAGAACTGAACTAGAACTGAACTAGAACTGAACTAGAACTGAACTAGAACTGAACTAACTAGAACTGAACTAGAACTGAACTAGAACTGAACTAGAACTGAACTAGAACTGAACTAGAACTGAACTAGAACTGAACTAGAACTGAACTAGAACTGAACTAGAACTGAACTAGAACTAACTAGAACTGAACTAGAACTGAACTAGAACTGAACTAGAACTGAACTAGAACTGAACTAGAACTGAACTAGAACTGAACTAGAACTGAACTAGAACTGAACTAGAACTGAACTAGAACTGAACTAGAACTGAACTAGAACTGAACTAGAACTGAACTAGAACTGAACTAGAACTGAACTAGAACTGAACTAGAACTGAACTAGAACTGAACTAGAAAACTGAACTAGAACTGAACTAGAACTGAACTAGAACTGAACTAGAACTGAACTAGAACTGAACTAGAACTGAACTAGAACTGTACTAGAACTGAACTAGAACTGAACTAGAACTGAACTAGAACTGAACTAGAACTGAACTAGAACTGAACTAGAACTGAACTAGAACTGAACTAGAACTGAACTAGAACTGAACTAGAACTGAACTAGAACTGAACTAGAACTGAACTAGAACTGAACTAGAACTGAACTAGAACTGAACTAGAACTGAACTAGAACTGAACTAGAACTGAACTAGAACTGAACTAGAACTGAACTAGAACTGAACTAGAACTGAACTAGAACTGAACTAGAACTGAACTAGAACTGAACTAGAACTGAACTAGAACTAAACTAGAACTAAACTAGAACTAAACTAGAACTGAAAAACTAATATTAACTTTTCTTAAAAAAAACTTAAATTTTATTATTTATTTTCTTCCAGTTCTTCAACGTTTCTACCATCAACAAAATCAATTGCGTGAGAAAGAATTAGAACGTCAACAACATCAACACTATACGAATATCTATACCAAACACTCGCCCTCAGATGGCACAACAACAAATCCCTTTCAAACGAATTTCTATCAGCAGCAGCAACAACAACACAGTTCCCATATACCCATTGCCTCTAGCTCAACTTTATCATCATATTCAACATCTAGTCAATCATCAACACAATCTTCACAATGTTCACAAATTGGTGGTACTGCTGGTGATGCAATTTCTTCATCTTCTCAACAAGGACCAAGAAGTTTACCTTTAACGCTTAACGAAAACAAGAGCTCCTCTTCACCCACTTCTCCCAATACTTTAGGCTTTGGCACTACTACTACATCACCCACAGCGCATTTGCAATATCAACCACTGCCTCAACAATATTTGAATAATTCTAATACAACCTCCCCCTATGGTGGGGGCAGTGTAATGCGTAACTCTAGATCCCCAGCCACTTCACCGGAAACTCTGTCCGACTCGGCAGTTTTAACTAAACATCCACAACAGTCTAGAATGTTAAATGTCACAAGTCCTACGGTTACAAAATTAAGTAAATTATATAATCAACGTTCAGGCTCCGCTTCAGCCTCCATAGCCAATGCTAATACTCCGGCAATAGCCAGTAAAGAGAATAATTTTAAACCGGAAAGTGGTAAGTTGTCGCTAAAGTTTTCTGTTTATTTAACTGCTTGTTTTTCATACATGCTTTATCTACTGCACATCACACATTTTTAAAACACTGTTTTGAATTAAAAAAACATTTTCTTTTTTCCTCCTTTTTTCACTCATAACCTTGTTTGCACTTATAAAACTACTACTCTGCATCTTTGTTTTTGGCTGCTCTTTTAATAAACAAACAAACATCTGTGTGGTAACATGGTCACAAACATTGCACTTAAACATTTCTTAAAAAAAACCTTATGCTACTTTTATTACTTCATATTGTGACTGTTATATTTGTCTTGTGTTGCGTGTGTGTCTTTTGGTTTGTATTTGTTTGTTATATTTTGAAATGCTTTAGGCTGGTTTAATACTTTAGCGGGTGCTATGAAACGCCAATTGTCAAATTATGTTAAAACACAAACAAATAATAATTCTACTACGACAGCTACATCACCTACAAATGGTTTAACAACAGCAGGATCTGAATTGACAAACGAACGTAAGGCCCAATTGTATTATCGTACGATGTCTTGTGGCAGCAGTAGTTCCAGTAATAGTCAAACCACCTCACCCTCTACTGAAACCTGCAAGCCGGCTCTAGCTGAAGGTTTCCAGGAGGGCTCGAGTGCTGCTGGTTTCATAAGACGTTATGCCGCCACTGGAGGAGCTGGATCAAATGTTAATTCGACAGGCCCCAGTTCGTCATTGCCGGCCACGCATACTCCGGCTCATATTTTGGCGAATTTAGATCGACGACATCGTTCACCGGATCCACCACCACGCTACAATCGTGGCCAGTCTCCTTTGCTGTTGCGTAAAAATATTTTAGAATTAAGTGGACAACCACCAGGCACTTCACCCATGTTAAACAGAAGGTGGGTTTGGAAATTTCTAAAAATGAACTAGAACAGATCTAAAAAGGAACAAGAATTAAAAGAGAACAGAAATAACACAGAACTACAAGAGACCTAGAACAGAACTAGAACAAAACTAGAATATAACTAGAACATAACTAGAACATAACTAGAACAGAACTAGAACAGAACTAGAACAGAACTAGAACAGAACTAGAACAGAACTAGAACAGAACTAGAACAGAACTAGAACAGAACTAGAATAGAACTAGAACAGAACTAGAACAGAACTAGAACAGAACTAGAACAGAACTAGAACAGAACTAGAACAGAACTAGAACAGAACTAGAACAGAACTAGAACAGAACTAGAACAGAACTAGAACAGAACTAGAACAGAACTAGAACAGAACTAGAACAGAACTAGAACAGAACTAGAACAGAACTAGAACAGAACTAGAACAGAACTAGAACAGAAGTAGAACAGAACTAGAACAAATAGAACAGAACTAGAACAGAATTAGAATAGAACAGAACTAGAACAGAACTAGAACAGAACTAAAACAGAACTAGAACAGAACTAGAACAGAACTAGAACAGAACTAGAACAGAACTAGAACAGAACTAGAACAGAACTAGAACAGAACTAGAACAGAACTAGAACAGAACTAGAACAGAACTAGAACAGAACTAGAACAGAACTAGAACAGAACTAGAACAGAACTAGAACAGAACTAGAACAGAAGTAGAACAGAACTAGAACAGAAGTAGAACAGAACTAGAACAGAAGTAGAACAGAACTAGAACAGAACTAGAACAGAACTAGAACAGAACTAGAACAGAACTAGAACAGAACTAGAACAGAACTAGAACAGAACTAGAACAGAACTAGAACAGAACTAGAACAGAACTAGAACTAGAACAGAACTAGAACTAGAACAGAACAGAATAGAACAGAACTAAACAGAACTAGAACAGAACTAGAACAGAACTAGAACAGAACTAGAACAGAACTAGAACAGAACTAGACAGAACTAGAAACAGAACTAGGAACAGAACTAGAACGAACTAGAACAGAACTAGAACAGAACTGAACAGAACTAGAACAGACTAGAACAGAACTAGAACAGAACTAGAACAGAACTAGAACAGACTAGAACAGAAACTAGAACAGAACTAGAAACAGAACTAGAACAGAACTAGACCGAACTAGACAGAACTAGAACAGAACTAGAACAGAACTAGAACAGAACTAGAACAAGAACTAGAACAGAACTAGAACAGAACTAGAACAGAACTAGAACAGAAACTAGAACAGAACTAGAACAGAACTAGAACAGAACTAGAACAGAACTAGAACAGAACTAGAACAGACTAGAACAGAACTAGAACAGAACTAGAACAGAACTAGAACAGAACTAGAACAGAAACTAGAACAGAACTAGAACAGAACTAGAACAGAACTAGAACAGAACTAGAAAGACTAGAACAGAACTAGAACAGAACTAGAACTGAACTAGAACAGAACTAGAACTGAACTAGAACAGAACTAGAACAGAACTAGAACAGAACTAGAACAGAACTAGAACAGAACTAGAACAGAACTAGAACAGACCTAGAACAGAACTAGAACAGAACTAGAACAGAACTAGAACAGAACTAGAACAGAACTAGAACAGAACTAGAACAGAACTAGAACAGAACTAGAACAGAACTAGAACAGAACTAGAACAGAACTAGAACAGAACTAGAACAGAACTAGAACAGAACTAGAACAGAACTAGAACAGAACTAGAACAGAACTAGAACAGAACTAGAACAGAACTAGAACAGAACTAGAACAGAACTAGAACAGAACTAGAACAGAACTAGAACAGAACTAGAACAGAACTAGAACAGTACTAGAACAGAACTAGAACTAGAATTAGAACTAAAACTTATAAAATTTACTTTTTTATTAAACTTATAGATTTGTTAATGCTTCTCCTCCCTTGCCACCACCCCGTAGAGGTTCAGAAAGTGTACCCGGCTCACCACAACACTTTCGCACCCGCATTCACTACACACCCGAACCACAAAGACGTGTTTATCGTACTATAGATCAATGAGTAGCACTGCAAATAATGGTTATGTGATATTGGTATGGATTTGTTGATGATGATGTTGATAATGCTGGCGCCCAAGACACTACCCCAAATAATAGCCATAAGACAACTACTACAACGGCAGGCGCTGAGGAAAATTTTATAAATTATGATCTGGATGGACCCTCTTCCTCATCCTCAGCCACAGCTAGAGATTTTCTAGGCATGCGCAGTTTTAGTCATACCGGTAGTGTTACAGAACGTTTGGATGCTATGATCTCATCGGCTAGAACTGATGCAACCGTGGATGCTGATGTTGATTGTATACCAGCTTCTGCCCCAGCATTTTCTTCATTATCTTTGGATGCCGATGATCTGGATACGGCACGTATGCGTCGTGCTAAATATTGGTTACAAAAGTAGCAGCTTTTTATGTTTTTAAATGTTTAACGACAAGTGTTTTATGTTTAACTGTTACATTGTGTTGTCGTTTTGGTAAGTTTTTTATTTGTTTTTTGCTTAATTATTAAAAGAAAAACGAAAAAAATTATGAATTTAAGAAAAAAAAGATAAACACCTAAAAGTATGTCATACATTTGAGTTAATTTGCTGGCTTTAAATATAGGCTTTATATTTAATTAAAGTAAAGTAAATATTACTCTCCCCTAAAAGTATAAAGAAAAACACCAAAAGAAAAACAAAACAAGTAAATTTATAAACAAAAATAAAGCAATATTTAACTTTATAAACAAAAATAATAAAAAAAGAAAATATTTATAAAAAAGTAAACCTCTTAAAAAAAAACAAACAAAAAGTAAATATCAAGCCTAAAAATATGCAATATGTTATTAAAATTTTTACTATCTTTGTATAACATTACAAAAATTATAAACATACAAAACTTATTTAAAAAAAAACTTTAAAATTTAGAATTTGTTAAAGCTTTTCCCTATAACCAATTGAGTTTCATTTTGTTTTGTTTTTTCTAAACAAAAATATTCAAACAACAGTTCCTTAAGGTTATTATTAGTAATGTTTATTTAGTTCTTTAACTAAACATTATTAATTTTATATAATTTGTTTATTTGTTTGGCAACAATATAAAATTGTTTTGTAAGACTTAAAACTTTGCTAATTTTTTCAATTTTCTTTTTTGTTTTTTTTTTTTTTTTTTAATTTAAACTAAACTGACTGAATAATTTTAATTTATATATTTTTACTTCTAAACAAAAACAAACTTTAAATTATAATGAAAAAAGAAAACATAAAAACTATATAAAAAATGACAATCTTTAACCCTTGAACCCTTTTTATATAGATTTTGTTATCCCGTTTCTAAGTTTTAAAACCCCTCAAAAAATCAAAGAAATTTTGTTTATAATTTATACTCCACAGTCTGCTTTTTCTAAAAAAAAGTATAAAAATTAAGTAAAACAGTTTGCAAAACCTCTACTTAAAAAATTAAACGAAAAAAAAAAACCAAAATAAATTTGTTAGTTTTGATATAATATAAACGATAAAAGTAAACAAACTACTTTAATGTATTTAAATTATTATAATAATTATAATTATCTAAATAATACATAAACAAAAAAAAAAACACATTTAAATTAAAAACGATACCCCCAATAAACAATTTATTATATAAAAAAGATGATCAACAAGTAAGAAAAAAACATTACTCCCCCGCCCCTTCTACTACTTAGATTTCTTCTCTTTGGTATTTAATTGTATATATTGTTATATACGCTATAATATAATAATGCTATGTAAAAAAATACAAACACAAAAAAAAACCATATAAAATATAAAATATGAAAAAAAACAATTATAATAAATATTATTTAAAAAAACAAGTACTAAACAAATTTTAGTACAAAGAAAAATAAATAAACAAAAATTATGGAAAAAACAAAATAAAATATTCATTCAGAAAAAGTAAAAAAAAAATAAATTTTAATTTCAACTAAAACTAAAACAACTAGAATCGAACTAGAAAATAACTAGAACAGAACTAGAACAGAACTAGAACAGAACTAGAACAGAACTTGAACAGAACTAGAACAGAACTAGAACAGAACTAGAACAGAACTAGAACAGAAACTAGAACTAGAACAGAACTAGAACTAGAACAGAACTAGAACAGAACTAGAACAGAACTAGAACAGAACTAGAACAGAACTAGAACAGAACTAGAACAGAACTAGAAACAGAACTAGAACGGAACTAGAACAGAACTAGAACAGAACTAGAACAGAACTAGAACAGAACTAGAACTAGAACTGAACTAGAACTGAACTATAACAGAACTAGAACAGAACTAGAACAGAACTAGAACAGAACTAGAACAGAACAGAACTAGAACAGAACTAGAACAGAACAGAACAGAACAGAACTAGAACAGAACTAGAACAGAACTAGAACAGAACAGAACAGAACTAGAACAGAACTAGAACAGAACTAGAACAGAACTAGAACAGAACTAGAACAGAACTAGAACACTATAACAGAACTAGAACAGAACTAGAACAGAACTAGAACAGAACTATAACAGAACTAGAACAGAACTAGAACAGAACTAGAACAGAACTAGAACAGAACTAGAACAGAACTAGAACAGAACTAGACAGAACTAGAACAGAACTAGAACAGAACAGAACTAGAACAGACAGAACTAGAACAGAACTAGAACAGAACTAGAACAGAACTAGAACAGAACTAGAACAGAACTAGAACAGAACTAGAACAGAACTAGAACAGAACTAGAACAGAACTAGAACAGAACTAGAACAGAACTAGAACAGAACTAGAACAGAACTAGAACAGAACTAGAACAGAACTAGAACAGAACTAGAACAGACTAGAACAGAACTAGAACAGAACTAGAACAGAACTAGAACAGAACTAGAAACAGAACTAGAACAGAACTAGAACTAGAACTAGAACAGAACCTAGAACAGAACTAGAACAGAACTAGAACATACAGACTAGAACAGAACAGCAGAACTAGAACAATACTAGAACAGAACTAGAACAGAACTAGAACAGAGAACTAGAAACCGAACTAGAACAGAACTAGACAGAACTCGAATACAGAACAGAACTAGAACAGAACTAGAACAGAACTAGAACAGAGAACTAGAAAGAAACTAGAACCGAATAGAACAGAACTAGAAAACAGACTAGAACTAAGAACTAGAACAGAAACTAGAACAGAACTAGAACAGAACTAGAAACAGAACTAGAACAGAACTAGAACAGAACTAGAACAGAACTAGAACAGAACTAGAACAGAACTAGAACAGAACTAGAACAGAACTAGAACAGAACTAGAACAGAACTAGAAACAGAACTAGAACAGAACTAGAACAGAACTAGAACAGAACTAGAACAGAACTAGAACAGAACTAGAACAGAACTAGAAACAGAACTAGAACAGAACTAGAACAGAACTAGAACAGAACTAGAACAGAACTAGAACAGAACTAGAACAGAACTAGAACAGAAACTATAACAGAACTAGAACAGAACTAGAACAGACACTAGAACAGAACTAGAACAGAACTAGAACAGAACTAGAACAGAACTAGAACAGAACTAGAACAGAACTAGAACAGAACTAGAACAGAACTAGAACAGAACTAGAACAGAACTAGAACAGAACTAGAACAGAACTAGAACCAAAACTAGAACAGAACTAGAACAGAACTAGAACAGAACTAGAACAGAACTAGAACAGAACTAGAACAGAACTAGAACAGAACTAGAACAGAACTAGAACAGAACTAGAACAGAACTAGAACAGAACTAGAACAGAACTAGAACAGAACTTGAACAGAACTAGAACAGAACTAGAACAGAACTAGAACAGAACTAGAACAGAACTAGAACAGAACTAGAACAGAACTAGAACAGAACTAGAACAGAACTAGAACAGAACTAGAACACAACAAGAACACAACTAGAACACAACTAGAACTGAATTATAAAAGAACTAGGACATAACTACTACTAGAATTGATCTAGATGCGAACAGGAACTAGATTTTTTCTAAAAAAAATTTATTACTATTATTACATTTATTATTTAATTTATTTCTAATATATTTTATTTTTTCTCTTTACTTTAGCTTTCCAAATGATTATTTTTAACATTTGAATTCTAAGCTCTATTTTCTCATTGCTCTCTTTTTTTGATTTAATTACGCGCAGTGAGAGATATTAGCTAAAAGAATTATTTAACATCGTTTAATTGTTTACTAATTATGATCATTTCTGGTTCATAGAACTTGTCTAAAGACAAAACCAACCCAACAGCAGTGCCTACATTGTTGTTAATGGTTCTTTGTATATGAAGAGCTACGGAAGCCAAGTGGGGCTATTACCTGCAGTGGATAAGTTTGTAGAACTGAAGGAGAACTAAACTAGAACAGAACTAGAACATAACTTGAACAGAACGAGATCAAAACGAGAACAGAACGAGATCAAACGAGAACAGAACGAGATCAAGACGAGTACAGAACGAGAACAGAACTAGAACAGAATTAGAACAGAACTAGAACAGAATTAGAACAGAACTAGAACAGAACTAGAACAGAACTAGAACAGAACTAGAACAGAACTAGAACAGAACTAGAACAGAACTAGAACAGAACTAGAACAGAACTAGAACAGAACTAGAACAGAACTAGAACAGAACTAGAACAGAACTAGAACAGAACTAGAACAGAACTAGAACAGAACTAGAACAGAACAGAACTAGAACAGAACTAGAACAGAACTAGAACAGAACTAGAACAGAACTAGAACAGAACTAGAACTGAATTATAAAAGAACTAGGACATAACTACTACTAGAATTGATCTAGACGCGAACAGGAACTAGATTTTTTCTAAAAGAAATTTATTACTATTATTACATTTATTATTTAATTTATTTTTAATATATTTTATTTTTTCTCTTTACTTTAGCTTTCCAAATGATTATTTTTAACATTTGAATACTTAGCTCTATTTTCTCATTGCTCTCTTTTTTTTGATTTAATTACGCGCAGTGAGAGATATTAGCTAAAAGAATTATTTAACATCGTTTAATTGTTTACTAATTATGATCATTTCTGGTTCATAGAACTTGTCTAAAGACAAAACCAACCGAACAGCAGTGCCTACATTGTTGTTAATGGTTCTTTGTATATGAAGAGCTACGGAAGCCAAGTGGGGCTATACAATCAGTGGATAAGTTTGTAGAACTGAAGGACAACTAAACTAGAAGTGAAATAGAACATAACTTGAACAGAACGAGATCAAAACGAGAACAGAACGAGATCAAAACGAGTATAGAACGAGAACAGAACTAAAACAAAATAGAACAGAACTAGAACAGAACTAGAACAGATCTAGAACAGAACTAGAGCAGAACTAGAACAGAGCTAAAACAGAACTAGAACAGAACTAGGACAGAACTAGAACAGAACTAGAAGAGATTTAGAACAGAACTAGAACAGAACTAGAACTAGAACAGATTTAGAACAGAAC